CAGGAAACAGTTCAGGTCTGCGTGGAATGTGATATGACAGAGGGTCATTTCAAATAATCCAGTCAGGGCTCATTTTGTTACCCTGGTGACATGTCTGTTTATGGCTGTCAGAGTTCCAACACACTTCTGCCATATTCCTACCAACACTGAAGATTCTCTCTTCCAGACCGTGATGAGCCTTGAATGAAAGGAACTGTGTTTGAACAGAATAACAAAATAGCTTGTTGCGTAGCGAAAGAAAGAAAGAGAGGCATGAGTTAAACTTTCACATGAAGGTGGATTAACAAAATACTTCTGTGCACACACACACACACACACACAAATTCAGAGTTCTGCTGATCAGGCCACCCTGCTGTGGTCAGAGACTTGAAGCAGGCTCTCTGTGTCTCTCTGATGTTTCAGCAAAGAAAGAGGGATGAGAGATGAGGGAGGTGGGGAACATGAGCAGCAGAAAGCAGAGAGAAAAGATGTAGGGGGTTCTTAACATGACCTTAACTGTTAACCTTAAGTCTTACCAGAAAAAAAGAATGAGATGTTTTTATCTTTTTCTGCCCCTTGTTCCTCAGCCTCTGCTCTATTCTCTCTTTTAAAAAAGTACAAAAATTGTGCCTTTGCTAGTCAATGGGGCAGTATACTCAAGATACACCTTTGTTCCTCATCTATCCATGTATGTACCCCTAAGATACTAATGTGCACCATTTGGGGGTACAAAGAGGTACTTTGAGGGTACTGCCCCAGTGACAACTAGGTACAGCTATTATACATTTTTTTCTGACAGCGAGTCAGAGTCAAGCAGTGAAAGCAATATCCTACAGTTTAACATGCTATACTCCGCCTAAAACTACATGAAAGAACATTTCTAATAGTTTTATATAAATTAATTCACAAGCATTTTAGGACCTTATATTACTATAGAGACATGGAATATTTGTGCTTAATTATTTTAAAAGGTAGATAGATAGGGCTACTTTTACACTGTTGCTGAGGGTTATCATTTAGTCTGCGGGTTAAAGCGATACCTGACGAAGAGGAAAGCCACGGGGAAAAACGTGATTGGGCTAGTTTGAATAGCAATTGGGCTGGTTTTGTTTCGCAGACCCTGCAAAAGAGGGATATATATTTATTTTGAAATTTGCTTGCACACAGTGACGGCGCTACACCGGGG